TGTGTGTGTGTGTGTGTGTGTGTGTGTGTGTGTGTGTGTGTGTGTGTGTGTGTGTATGTGTTGGGGGGTGAAAAAAACATAAAAGCCTACCTCCAATCAAGTGTCTTTATACACAATCGTTGTATCAAAGTAATATAATAAAAACAAGGCCATTTCCAGCATGGTCATCCACCAAGCGTGTCCTTCAACCTAATCCTACCTTACTTTTATATCAAGTATGATCATTATAATTGAACAACATGGAAAAATAAGGATAAGCTTGTGAAAGAAAACAACATATCATCATATATAAAAAAAAATAAGTAAATTATAGAAAAATATACATTTTCAACAATTTAGTTTTGTTTCAACTTAAAAACATTACAACAACCTTAATAATACCCACAAATTAACAACTGAAAATCAATCAAGGCAAATAAATAAGCAGCTTATGAACAACTAATAAACAACTGAACAACTTAAAAAATTAATGTGTTGTCATGCATATCAACTTATGGAGATCTCCTATAATTGAGGTTAGGAGTCTAAGTTGCTTGCTCCTACCGAACCAGAATTTAACAATAGGATCCTTTTTGGGCTTGCTAGATTAACAAAAAATTTGGATGCCAATGCACAACGTAGCGTGATTTCTTTGATTTTGCCACTTACACTAGAAAAGTTCAGTACTATTATCAGGGATATAACAATTTGGGTGAGTCTATGACAACCTTAACATGCATAACTAAATGAGACACTAATGCATATGTTAGTAATAACAATATGTATTATATTTGTCATATTCAAAACCTTGGTGGGAATTGCGAACGCGCTTCGTCTGACTTAACACTAAGCCTATATGGAATTAGCCCACCGACTACCCTCCAAATGTTGCACACCCTTTTGGTACTTAGTTAGGGACTTTAACCTTCAATCTTGTATTTAACCCAATGGCCACTCAATGACAAATATGGTTCGGCCTCCACCATACTATTTTCAATTGAAAAAACATAGAAGAGACAAAAACTTTCCAATCAAAAGGCAATTTATTAACCAAAGGATTTTTAACTTTGATCTCTTTGAACACCATAATTTATATCCACACAAATGAATATTTTTATTTGAAAACAACTTTTATCTCCTCTAATTTTTATGCTACTTACAACCTAAAAAAATGCATCACATGTTCAACACAATTTACAACATACAACTTAATTTCAAAAAACATCAAACAATAAACAACCACTACAAGAAAATCGCAATTTAATGAAGGAAATAGTCCCTCACTAATCCTTTTCCATTTAGCAAGGGAGTCGAGAGGGATAAACTTATCTCTCTATATGGACCATGGCTCTACCATGGTCACTATTTGATAACACAAATTAGTCTGCGAGTGAAATTGCAAGAAAGATTTATTCATACAAATATTTATAGTTTAGGAACAATTTAACACTTCACTAATTAAAGACATTTTAAAAGTAGTTAATGAGTAATCATTTCTTGATTAATTAACCACTTTAGTGGTCAAGTTTTTATTCTAATTAATCCTTTTTTTTTTAATTTAAGCTCTCAATGATTTTTAAATTTAGGTATTTTTTTTATTCCTTGTTCTTGTTTGAAGCACTTTTTCCTTTCTCCTTTTAAGTGCAAGTTGTATTCCATATGTTAGTTGATTATTTCTTTGTATTTCTATGTTAAAATATTAGAGCAACTAAACATAAAACTTAAACAATAAGATGAAGGACAAAGAATCGATTTTGGTTATCTAACACATCCCTTTACATTTAAGTCTAATTTACATGAAAACATGAACTAACTAATTTCCATATTTTCTAATTTTTAATCGTAAAGGCCCTTACATGGTTGAAA